AAACGATTCGTGTTTTTGATATATTCTTGTACAAACAACCGTATATTATCATTATCAGTCTGGTTCAGATTAATAGAACCGTTCAACAGTACATCTAGATCAATGACTATATCATATCTAGACAATTGTCTGAAAAGTATATCCCGACACTGGTTGTATATATTACACTGAAAAAAATAATGAAATTGGGTTTCTATTGAGAAAGAACAGTTACATGCTGGTGATAAGACTAAATTACACTTGTAAAGATCTGCATTCAACGCGCTACAGCTGTGATGGAGTCCAGTATGTATTATATCAAATTTTCTGTTACCTACAGACAGTTTAGTTACAGGTTTGTTTTTTCTAAAAATGCTATGTTTAAATTTTGACACTGTTTCAAGAGTTCTAGTTGAAATATCTAATGAATTCCACATTCTGGGTACGATGTCGTTTAGGTAAAAAGGAACTAAATTATGGTGCATTTTGTATAATAATAACTTTTTTTGTTTGTTTCCGTTTGTCTTCAAGTTTTTCCCTGCCAGTTTCACTATACAAAGACTGTCTACTAGCAAATAAAGGCAAACCTGTAACTATTCTGGCTGCTTCTAGTTGGACTTTTTCTATTTTATCAGAATCTGCATTGTTACAACCATCCCACACTTCACTCGCATATTCTAAAATAGGTCTGATGAATACAATGTATAATTTTGATATAATTTCTTTATTCACAGTAAATTTCAATTTTCGTAAAACAGACAAATGTTTAGAGGCTGATCTGACAATATGCAAGATATGTGTTTCCCACTTGCCATTTTCATTTAAAGTTACCCTTAAGTGTTTGTGTGTAGCACTTTTTGTCAATGTTGTGTTATTAAAAGTCAACTGAACATCAAGTCTTTCTAAAGAACCAGTAAAAACAACTACGTCTGTTTTATTAGGATTAAAATTTACATTCCATTTTTTCGACCAGTGATCAATAACTGCTAAATTATGGTTCATGTAATATTCAATTTCTGCACTATTATTTGAAGAATATGCGAGTGAAGTGTCCTCGGCAAACATTCTTGACAATGAAAATAAATTTTCACAGATATCATTAATATATAACAAAAATAGAAATGGTCCCAAAACAGAACCTTGTGGTACACCAGCATTTACATATCCTGTGTATGAAAAAGCTTCACGTAAACATACCATTTGATTTCTACCACTTAAATAATCTCACAACCAATTATACATATTGCCTCTAAGACCATATGCTTTTTTTTCATTAAGCCATCATGCCAAACTCTATCGAAAGCTTTTGAAATGTCAAAAAATAAACAAATATTATGATAAATTTCTAGTTACTGTGTAACAGTAGGATGACCTGGAACAAAGCCTGACTGGTGTTTATACAGGAGGTTGTTATCGATGACAAAATTAAATAAATGCTTGTATATTACTCGTTCAAGCACTTTACTGACAGTACTAAGAAGAGAAATAGGTCTGTAATTAGAAGAAGGAAAACGCTAACCCTTTTTAAATAAAGGTATTACTATAGTTGTTTTCCACTGACTGGGAAACTTACATTGACTTAGAGATAAATTAAAAAGCAATTGAAGAGGTATACAAACACTTTCTGCAGTATTTTGTAACATTGCATGACTAATTTGATCTTTTCCGGTAGCTTTGTTTAGCTTCAAAGTTAAAAGAATATCCTTTATTACAGTTACAGAGAAGACAATATTTTCAATTGAATAAGGGCATCTTGAAGGAAATTCTGGGATGATAGTGGGTTCATCAATATTATTAGCAATGGAACAAAAAAACTTATTGAGTAAATCTGCTTTTTCTTTATCAGCATACACAAACTCACCTGTATCACTGTCATATAATGAGGGAATTGATTCTGATTTGGCTGTTTTACCAATAAGTCGATGCATAAGTTTCCAATATTGTTTAGAATCATTCAAGGCAAAGTTATCAATAATTCCGTTAATATTTTCACTTACGTAGTGCCGTTGTGGAGGTCTGCGAGTGTTTGGCCTTTTCTATGTCCCAGTGGTGGCGGGTTTATATCTGAGGTGATTGGGATCCTTGATTTACCAACTAACAAAGAGTCTTAAAATACATGGAGAGGGAACAATTTTTTGTTCGGAAATGTAGCCTTCCGTTCAGAATGTTAGACTTAAGGCTGGACTTTTGTCCTGGTATTAACACGTACTAATATGGGTAGGCGGATGAGGGTCTGATGGGCGGTGACGGGTGCTTGTAGGTTATTGAATATGGATGTCATATGTTTGATATTACTGATTGCGTTATGGATAATAAGTACTTGTCTAAGGCTTGGTTACAAATATGTTTTTGCATGCCTTTAACGATGATGTCTCGGACCTGCCTGATGCCTTAGCGTACAGTGTATCGTTGTTGCCGGAGTTGTTAACAGAATGTAAGGCGGCTACCACAACTAAGACGTACTTTAGTGGATTTCAAAGATGGAGGAGAAGGGCCGTAAGTAACGGTTTGGCGGATACAGACTGTTTTCCCGCCAAACCCGTCCATGTTTCGCTATACCTCGCTTCACTGGTACAGCAGGTGAGCACGCCTAGTCCGATGGTTACTGCTTTTTATAGTATCAATTGGGCACACAACGTGGTAGGCATTCCCTCTCCCACCGATTCGTTTCTAGTTAAAAACATTTTGGAGTGTGCCAAGAGACGTTTAGCTGTGCCTAAGGTAAAGAAAGATCCGATTATCCCAGCTATTCTTGAAAATATGTATGATAAATGGTATCGTGGAGACAATCTTTATAATCTTCGAACTGTGTGTGCATGTCTTGGATATTCCGTTTTTTTGAGAGTTTCCAAACTTTTAGAGCTAAAACGAAGTGATTTTCAATTTTATGATACACACATGATTGTACAAATTGTAAAAAGTAAGACTGATATTTATCGAGATGGTGCCCATGTTGTTATCGCACGTACGCATACGCGACTGTGCCCCGTTAGCAATATGGAAAAGTTTTTTAGTTTGTGTAGTTTTCAACCTGATGTGTTCGTTTTTTGTGCTATTTCCACAACCCAAGATGGTTATATTTTTCGTTCTGATAACGAAAAACTGTCGTATACTAGAATGAGAGAACTATTATAGAGGCGTTTAGTCCTTTTGTTTCTGACATTCGTCAATATGATTACATTCGTTGCGTGCAGGTGGCGCTACGAGCGTCGCTAACGCCGGAATTATGGTCGTTTGTTCAAGAGACATGGCAGATGGCGTTCCGAGCAAGCCAAAGATGGTTATGTTAAAGACTCGTTGGAAGAGCGATTATCGGTGTCTAAAAACTTTGGGATAAGAGTTCCCCCTCCTCCCTTTCTTTGAATTCAGCACGCGCGTGGTTGAGCCCGTTGCACTTTATTAATGTTTTTGTCTTATTTGTTTAAGTGACGTATTAACGGAACGACGTTTTGGTCGAAGAAATATAATTTTATTCGTTTGAATGGAATGAATTAGGATGAAATTGTTTTCTCCGATACCGGAGTGACGTCACTGGGTGGGCAGTGTTTCGGGTGTATATACCTGTGGAGCTCGTGCGGGTGGTCATTCAGCGAGACCACGTGCACGGGTACACACACCGGTATACCCGTACACTGTTAGTTTCTGGTTTTTTTTTGAAAATTTAAAGATATTATACAAAGATGAAGTATGATTTGATTTTTTGAAAGGGAGGACGCGGAGTAGATATTTGAAAGATGGTTATTTGTGATGTGTGGTTTTGTAGTTGGTGAAGGCGAGTTATTGTGTAATAAACTAACGCGCGTGGTTGAGCCCGTTGCACTTTATTTATGTTTTTGTCTTATTTGTTAAAGTGACTATTAACGGAACGAAGTTTTGGTCGGAGAAATGACCACGTTGACAACATCTACCCCCGTGTACCTGCGTACACGTGACAGCCTTCTGCTGCTCGTGCCGCAAGAGACAACTTATTCCCGCTTCTACTTCGAATCGCGGGAATATTTGTATGTGTGTGTGTCCTAAAGCAGTTCATTTATCTGATCCTGGTACACAGTTTTAGGCATGATGAGGTAGCCCGGCCCTTATCGTCTTAGTAATCATGATGTCTCTATTGGCCTTCAAAGAGATTGATGCTGTCTTTCCTTCTTAGAAAGGTTAGATATAGGGTGTAGGCTGTTCTGTCGCGCGCGCTAACATTTTTCAGATGCTGCTTTATGTCATTTCACAACAAGCTGGTAGTTTTTATAGCACCCAGAGAACACGACCTTTATCGCTACAGCAGATACATGTATGTGTACCCGTAGACAGGTTACGTAATATTATCTACAGCTGTAGTGTACATGCTCACCTCTTACCTGCTGTACATGTATATATATACGATAGGGTTGAATGACTAGTATGTGTACCGTCCTGATGTGTACTTATGATCAGTGATAGCCTAGGGTCAGCGGTAGGTTTTATAATATAAAATTAGATGATAAACAGCTATAATTTAACACTTTGTTAGGATCACTCAGCCATTGGACGTACCTGTCTTACTTGTAACCAATACTGGATTACTCGATAATTGGACCTAACCCATAGTGGATCACTCGACCGTTGTACCTAACCAACACTGAATCACTCGACCGTTGTACCTAACTAACACTGGATCACTCGACCGTTGGACCTAACTAACACTGAATCACTCGACCGTTGGACGTACCTGTCCTACCTGTAACTAACACTGAATCACTCGACCATTGGACCTAACCAACACTGAATCACTCGACCATTGGACCTAACTAACACTGAATCACTCGACCGTTGTACCTAACCAACACTGAATCACTCGACCGTTGTACCTAACCAACACTGAATCACTCGACCATTGGACCTAACTAACACTGTATCACTCGACCGTAGGACCTAACCAACACTGAATCACTCGACCGTTGTACCTAACCAACACTGGATCACTCGACCATTGTACCTAACCAACACTGAATCACTCGACCATTGGACCTAACTAACACTGAATCACTCGACCGTTGGACCTAACCAACACTGAATCACTCGACCGTTGTACCTAACCAACACTGAATCACTCGACCGTTGTACCTAACCAACACTGAATCACTCGACCATTGGACCTAACTAACACTGTATCACTCGACCGTAGGACCTAACCAACACTGAATCACTCGACCGTTGTACCTAACCAACACTGGATCACTCGACCATTGTACCTAACCAACACTGAATCACTCGACCGTTGGACCTAGCCAACACTGGATCATTCGACCATTGGACGTACCTGTCCTACCTGTAACTAACACTGAATCACTCGACCATTGGACCTAACTAACACTGAATCACTCGACCGTTGGACCTAACTAACACTGAATCACTCGACCGTTGGACGTACCTGTCCTACCTGTTACTAACACTGAATCACTCGACCATTGGACCTAACTAACACTGAATCACTCGACCATTGGACCTAACCAACACTGGATCACTCGACCATTGTACCTAGCCAACACTGGATCACTCGACCATTGTACCTAGCCAACCCTGAATCACTCGACCATTGGACCTAACTAACACTGAATCACTCGACCGTTGTACCTAACCAACCCTGGACCACTCGACCGTTGGACCTAACCAGCACTGGATCACTCGACCGTTGTACCTAACCAACACTGAATCACTCGACCGTTGTACCTAACCAACACTGGACCACTCGACCGTTGTACCTAGCCAACACTGGATCACTCGACCGTTGTACCTAACCAACACTGAATCACTCGACCATTGGACCTAACCAGCACTGGATCACTCGACCGTTGTACGAAACCAACACTGGATCACTCGACCGTTGGATCTAACTTACACTGGATCACTCGACCGTTGGACCTAACCAACACTGAATCACTCGACCGTTGGAACTAACCAACACTGAATCACTCGACCATTGGACGTACCTGTCCTACCTGTAACTAACACTGACTCACTCGACCATTGGACCTAACTTACACTGGATCACTCGACCATTGGACCTAACCAGCACTGGATCACTCGACCATTGGACGTACCTGTCCTACCTGTAACTAACACTGGATCACTCGACCGTTGGACGTACCTGTCCTATCCTATACTGTAACCAACACTGGATCACTCGACCATTGGACGTACCTGTCCTACCTGTAACTAACACTGAATCACTCGGTCATTGGACGTCACCAGCACTGGATCACTCGACCATTGGACCTAACCAACACTGAATCACTCGACCATTGTACCTAACCAACACTGGATCTCTCGACCGTTGTACCTAACCAACACTGGATCACTCGACCGTTGGACCTAACTTACACTGGATCACTCGACCGTTGTACCTAACCAACACTGGATCACTCGACCATTGGACGTACCTGTCCTACCTGTAACTAACACTGATTCACTCGACCATTGGACCTAATCAACACTGGCTCACCGGACCGTTGGACGTACCTGTAACCGACAGTTGATCACTCGACCATTGGACGTACCTGTCCTACCCTATACTGTAACCCAGCATGCACCGCCTCACAGTTTCCATTGTACTTCTGATGAGTATCGGCGTAAGTGCTGTGGAGGAAAGCTGTGATCGACACTCTGGTATACAGACAGAATGTCAGGTAAGACCTACCACAATGCTCTTGTCGTGGAAACATTCCTTTTAGAGTGAGAAAATAACACATGCTTTGTTATGTAAATATATTACGGTGGATGATTGAGAACATCCAAATAATAATTGTATCTCGTTATAATGAGAAATAGCTAGCTCATTATGATTTGTTTGCTTGCAAAGCTGTGTCATTCAAATAGATCATAAATACCATACAAAAACAGAGCAATACTTATATTTACGTTTTCTCTGCCTCTTATGTTCTATTTTCACTTATAATTTATATTTAAAATTAAAAATGCCCGCCTAATCGACAGTCCACACAATTTCGTCCAATAGTTTGAACAGCGTATTGTCGCGTGCTGATTGGCAAACAAAGTAGTACTATGAAATTTTAACAAACACTTCAATTTTATTCCACAATTCAGTATCTATACAATTGCGTATGATATGTCTATAGTGTGATTTAAGTTTATCAAAAGATCTCTGAGCTGAAAGTTAGATTTGTAATTGTTTCGATTTTTCCCCGGAACAAATTTCGCGCATGGACAAATACAGTGAACACCGTAAATCCGACCTTGCCCTCCACGAGGGAGTTGTTTTTGGAAATTAATTCGAACTTTTCTCTTTGCTCATTTTGTGAAGAATCCAGGTGTGAATGTATTTGTTGATTGTATGGGAACCTGACAACAGTCGGTAGATTCTATAACAGACTCGTTATTTGACATGTCTTCAGAAACTAAGGAACCGTGGATGCGAGACGTGTGAAACTAATAGCGTTTGAAGTGAATGATCTTGCGACGGAGCACAAGTTCGTTACAAATGTCTGAAATGTTTATATGTGCTATGACTCATATCAGTTGGTCTGTATCATATGTGTCAGTCGGTATATAGAATATGTGTATTTCAGACATTTGTAACGAACCCCTGTTGATCAGTGCAGTGTAACAGACGATATTTCTGATAAATTGCATGAGCGTTAAAATTGTTTCCATTGCCGGCATTGGTGATTTCAACCGATGTGCATTTTGTATGATATTGCAGACCTTGGTCTTGTTTTCGTTGTAATTAAAGTGTATTTTATTTTTTTATTTTGCACATAAATTTACAATGACATTGTCAAATCTCACAATGCCCAGCGATATTTCGGCAGCCGTCATGTTTATTTATATTGGATATTGTAGTTCCGGTCCGTGTTGTATTAATACGCTAAGAATTGTGTCTCGTGCGGCATGGTGATTAAAGTCCCATCAACGACACAGCTTTCAAAGAGGCTATATAGTGACAATGCAATGCAAATGTAAATATTATCACGTTATAACGACTCATAATCTCGTTAAAACGACTGCATGTAAACATCTCGTTATAATGAGTTAGTATCTCGTTACAACGACTTAATATATTATTATAACGAGTTTGTAGCTGGAGTTGCTTACTCGTTATAACGAGATACTTACACGTTACAACGAGACTGGAGTGGACCGATCATCGGCGACCAGGTAGCTAAATTGGTAGAATATCCGTCTAGAATTCGAAAATCTAGGGTTCAAACCACGGTCTGAACGTTGCATTTCTCTTTCTTTACGAAATTGGCAAGCTTGTCAACCCTTCTTCCAAGCATTGAGTGTACGCTTGCCAAAGGAATACCGAACCTTGGTTGTAAATAGTTGTGTGTTCGGGGACGGGGACGGAGAAAAGGGAGGGAGGAATAGAGCGCAACTGGACTGGATTTCTCGTTCTCCTATTACAAAGATAGTTCCACGTGAACGTTATGTTACCAATAGCATGCCATTGCTATGTGATATACAACATTTGACATAGCGCACTATCTAGCTAACATAAGCCACTCTAAACACAGATACATATGTATACAACTAATACAATTAACAAACACGTTAATCAATACAATTTTGAGGGATTTGCAGAGCTGCCTTAACAAGCGCTAACTTCTAGTCCTATGCCACATGGCTTATATCTCCCCACGTGTGTATATGCCTGCGTTTGTACTGGAGTTGTAATGTGTTATGTTTGTAGTGGGACCGTGCTTCCAACGGCATCATTCATAGTGCCGCCTTACTTGAATGCTACAGCACAGATACCGCAGCAACACCCACCCCTGACTAGTTTATACTACACCTGGGTTGTTCGAGTTGTGTGGGCAGGAGAAACACACTTTCTCTGAATACCATGCGTACGACGACTTCGGGAATCAAACCCCGGCCGCCTGTGTGGAAGGCCGGCGTGTTAACCACTCGACCAATCCGCCTATGTCTGTTAATTAAAGAAGCCGCCGACATGTACAGATACCTTGTGCCTCGCCTTTAATCTGAAACAAATTAAAATATGTTGTGGAGGGCTAGTGGTACATTCTACTACCACTAGCCCTCACTAGGTCGCAGGTTCGAGGCATGCGTGGGGCAGTCGCCAGGTACTGGCCGTAGGTCGGTGGTTTTTCTCCGGGAACTCCGGCTTTTCTCCACCTCCAAATCTTCTTCAGCCATGCGAACACCACTTGTAAATTGTCGTATATAATATTCCTGCAAAAAGAATATCAGATATAGAGATAGCTACCATTTAATATGTCTGGTTAAAATTGTACATGGTCCAGAGAAAATATTATGTGGTACTTTTTATCGGCCTCCAAACTCTCCTGTCACCATATGGTCCAAAATCTCGCATTCTATAGAAAGAGGCTTATAATACAGGCATTTCTCATATTGTGATAACCGGCGACTTTAATGCAAATGCCCTAGTAGACCACCATTCGCCCCACTTACGCGATATACTGAATATTATTGATGCTGTCAAAAATTTCTTAGATATTTTACTAACTATTGCTAAATCTTGTATTCCGAATAAAAAAAATAACCATCAGATCTAATGAACCCCCTTGGCTATCAAACGAAACAAGGAGATTAATTCGTAAACGTAAGCGCGCTCATACAAAAGCCAAGCGTACCCTTACTGAAGCTCACTGGGCAAAGTTTCGTCGACTTCGTAACAAATGTGTTAACACAATCAAGCACGCCAAATTAACATATTTTTCTAATTTATGTAGCGAACTTCGCAAACCTTCTAACATTAGTGCTTAACAATGGGGGAAAATTGAAAAGCAACTATTACCTAACTCTGGGAAATTTTGTATACCACCATTGCTTCATAATAATAGCGCTGTCTCAGATGACTTCGAGAAAGCTTGCTTATTTAATGACATCTTTTGTGCCCAGTCTACAGTTGATGACTCCAATGTAAATCTCCCTAACATTGACGACGAATGTAATAATTCCTTATCTGATATTAACATCACATCTAATGACGTCAGAGATGCTATTCTTACCACTAACTGTTCTATCCTCGTCTTCTTAAAGAATCAGTAAATGNCCCACCCCATCAATCTGGGTTTAGGAACGGTGACTCACCAACAAATCAACTTCTTGCGATCATTCATGATATATATTTAGCCTTAGACAATGGTAAGGAAATACGTATGGTCTTTTGTGATATTAGTAAAGCTTTCGTTCGTGTTTGGCATAAAGGCCTTCGTTGTAAATTATCCAGCTATGGAATTCGAAATTCGCTATTAGTTTGGTTTGAAAATTATCTTTCCGATCAAAAGCAGAGAGTTGTCATCAATAGTAAAAATTCAAATTGGTTAAATGTTAAGGCTGGTGTTCCACAGGGCTCAATTCTTGGACCTCTTTTATTTCTGATATATATAAATGACATTGTTAAAGATATACAAGCTAAAATAATGTTATTCGCTGATGACACCTCTCTTTACGTAACCGTTGATATTCCTAGAGTCAGCGCAGATATTCTTAATAGTGACCTTAATAAGTTTCATAACTGGTCGCAAAGATGGTAGTACATTTTAACCCTTCCAAAACAGAATCCCTGCTCATTAGTAGAAAACCCATTAAACCGTTTCATCCTCCCTTAAATATGAACAATACTTACGTCTCCGAAGTTACTACGCACAAGCATTTAGGTATTTTTCTCTCTGGAAATGGTTTTTGGAATGAACACATCAGTTATTTGATATCTAAGATTTCACCTAAAATAAATATCTTACTTAAATTTAAAATCTCTTTGGACAGGTATAGTCTCCAAACTATGTACTACGCTCGTATTCGACCTATATTAGACTATGGCGATAGCTTATGGGACTGCCTTACTAAAGCTCAATCTGAATTATTAGAAAATTCTTCAATAAGAAGAAGCACGCATAGTCACTGGCGGCACTAGACTCACAAGTAGAATTAAACTGTATACTGAAACAGGTTGGCTTCCCCTCGAGGAAAGACGTAAACAGCACAAGCTTATTCTTTTCCACAAAATGATTTATGGTCTGGCTCCTCAATATCTAATTACCACAACCATGATACTCGTACGGGAAATAATGTTAGTCCACTAGTTAGTCATACGAGTCTCTATAATAAATCTCTTTTGCCATCTGTCATCAATATCTGGAACTCTTTGCCTGACTATGTCAAGAACGACCCTTTAATTTATAAACTTAAAACCTTTCTACGCAAGCCCTCTCACAAAATCATTTTTTTTTTCTACTTTAATGGTACCAGACTCGGGCAGATACATCATGCTAGATTAAGAATGGAGTGTAGTTCCCTTAAGTTTTATCTATACCAGAGAAATCTAATTAATAGTCCTCTGTGTTGTTGCATGCAAGCAAATGAAACCAATGAACATTATCTATTACATTGTTGTCTTTTTTCTCCACTACTTTTACATACATTTAACGAAATCAACCATCCACTCTCAACTGATTTACTTTTGTTCGGGAATGATGAGCTTACAGAGGACGAAAATGCCTTAATTTTTTCATCTGTACAAAACTTCATCCTCCATTCTAAAAGATAAAAGATTTGACTAATTTCTATTCATTATACAACGATCCTTTGTTTCACATCACCTATTTTTTCCTCTCCTTTTATTNCCCCCCTCTTCTTCTTTTACTCACATTTCAATTTCAATAGAATTCAGTAACTATGCCATCATGCCTTAAATTAATGAGATAAATTCTCGGAAACGGATTTATATAAGTTATTCCAACTTGTTTCCGGATCCCATCCTCTGTACTTCGTATGTTATGTGATGTAATGCAACCTAATTTGGAATGAAATAAAGTTTATATTATCAAATTGTCGTATTCCAACGTTCACGTTAAGCGATACGAATTATTTTATAAACGTTTGACACGGGTCACCGAAATAGGTAATAAACACATGTATATTTTACATAAAATATAGCAAAATACACAACTTTATAAAACTAGGCGTAATTGTGTTTTTCAGAAGACTGGATAATACACAGCAAGTCATGATGATACGCCAAAAATACTATCCATGTACACGATTTTGAGCGTTTATATACGAATTATCTCCCTTATGCCTTTTTTGATATTGCTCTGAATAACCTGTCCGAAGTTGTTACTTACTGTTTGATCAATAATAAATATTCAAAAAAGTCTTTAAACATAGCCGAAGGAAATCTGTGGGGAAATAGGGAAAATATTGCTACTATATTAGGTATATATTGTTAAAATAACATCTCAAGTACAATAGCACGCCACAGTACAAAATATCCAAAGTATTAAGATACAGTATCCGATCTGTATGCATTTAATATGTACTTAGGTTTCAGAACACTCAGTGTTCCCCTAATAATCTCAACATATCTTATTTTTGGCGTTATAAATGGATGTGTTGACTATTACAGGAAAGGTATAGAAAAACTGTCCAGAAAAAACCCCACAAAAACAAAAAGGGAACATTAAATAGGTGGACGGTAGGCGATGTGACAAATATATCGACGGACATCGTAGCAAGGTTTTGACTCTAGACTGCTGTTTATTGGTCAACTCTTATGAGTTATTATTAATATTATTACCTCAAAATACCAAAATTACTACATGGTATTTTTTGATGTACAGTTAACCCTCGATATACTCTCAACGTTCACTAACATTTGGCGAAATAATGGGGTAAGGCGATAGGTTGACTGGCAATGATACGAGTGGCATTAAATTGAGGTTTAACGACTCACGCAATTAAATCATTTACTTCATGTTATTACTTAGCTTTTGGGCTTCTATTTACAGGTGCCGTTCTCAACCTGTGGCTATACATTACGGCCTCTGTCAAGCAAGTTTGGCGCAGAGGTAACCGGTGTTGACCTTACCACGGTGAATCAAAGCTGCGCAGACGCACTGAAACAGGAAGCACTCATGTACAGGTTCTTGCTGTTTCGTGACCAGGATTTGACGTGGCAAGAACAGATCAAGTTTACAAATCTACTGGGAGCAGTCTTCTCGGAGACAAGTTCGTTGAGACGGCCTTTCCATCCAAAGACTCCGGATCCGCGTATAGCCTACTTGTCCAATGATCCCTTGGAAGGTATTCCAGGGCAGGGTGTGGAAGCGTGGCACGTTGACGGAAATAGTGTCCCTGCTCCACATCAATTCACTCTGATTTATTGTGTCAGCGCCACGCGAAATGGCCCGACCCTTATCGTGCCTCTCAAAGAAATCGTGGACATGTTTACACCGGAAGAGAGAGCCTTCCTCGACAGCATCCGCTATGTCAGTGGGAATAATGAAAGTATCACCATGCCTCTCATTTACAAACACCCCGTTAGAAATTATGACACAATCGTAGTTGCTCTTGGGTTATTATCTGGACAATACATCCTTCGGCAGGACGATCATGATACCATTTTATCGAAAGAGGAGACACAACGGATCAAAGACTTGATAGAAGCGAAAATCATTGGCTCGAATTTGATATATTCCCATCAGTATAAATCTAAGGACTTGTTGTTACTAAACAACCCTTCGGTTGCCCATATTGCAGGCCCGGGATCACAAAATCCTGTGGAAGTCGCTGGCCTACGACTTATGCATCGGTCTACAGTCCGCGGAGACCGTCCGCCTAGCAAGACGTCGAGTATAAAGTACGCATGCGCTCAATTCGAACCATTTGCCAGCGGGTATTGTTTATTTTCACTGAAGGATTCTGTTTTTTATCCTCGATATGGGTTCTTTGACACAAGGGATGCTGCTAGGCAGAGGTGCAAGAGTATTGACGAGGGAGCAGACCTAGCTACCATACCTAATAAAAAGTGGAACAATCTTGCGAAGACCATCATAGAGCGTACCGGTGTCCCTCATTGGTTGAACGGGACGAATCCACAAGAAGAAGACGTGTTTTGGGGGGAAGTTAAGAGTGAATTTACTAACTGGCATAGAGAGCAGCCAAACGACCACGACGGACCGGAAGTGTGTTTGATCATGGGGCCTTTCGGAACATGGCTTGATCTGGCGTGTGAACCAAAAACCCAGCCAGGAGCTGACCCAGGCCCTGTGATAACGTGGGAAGACGGAGTAAGGCGGAAGTTCAATGTGTATCCGCTATGTGGCGTCCTTCACAAACAATCGTAGCCCCGCACACGATCCGACTTACGAATTGACAAACGTGCTGTGAAACAAAAATTAGCTTGGTTGCCGGAGACCCCGAAAATTGTCCGGAATAGCGTTATTTAATCTATTATTGTCGTTATTTAACTCAAATTGTAAATAATATCTGGAACGTGACATTTCTTGCTGGTCTAGTACTGATAATGTTTTGTGATTAAACGATTTGAGAATCTGATCAATATTTAAGTTCATGACATTATTATTATTTGTTTGAAGTAAAGAAAGGGAAGTGTTACATATTAAAGGTAAACCAATTAACCTAACACATTATATTGGTAGAAATTTAGTAGTTTTACCCTTAAACTTACATCCGCTATCGTTATCACTGTTCAATATTTATTTTGTATGGGTGTTATATAGATATATAAAGATTGTTTCGACATTGTGTCTACATGCAAAGAACAAACAAATCCGAACTGTTTGCCCGGACAGATAATGCTTACACAGTTGTGTGTGTTTTTCGTTATCAAAGTCACACATGTGTACAGTAGATCTCTCAATGATAAAGCAAGCTGGTGTAAGATTCACCTCAGTTAAGTTCAATAAAAATGTAAAACAACATAATGAAAGCTAAGAATACAAGAGTACCCCGCTTTCTCCTACATATGGCCTATTTTGTAAACTGTCCTGGTTTGATACCGTATTAAATTCTAAATTATTCCGTCATTTATCTCACTAACTTCGAAGGCCCGACATATCGGTTGAGGACGACACATTTATTTGCACCGACTGACCTTAGGCATACATATCAGCTCGCGGGTTCTGGCCTTATCGAGCTGATACGGAGTCAGATATTGCAAATGGTCATATGATAACCTCTTAATAACATAATTGGTTTTATAATATAGCCTTTATATATACTCTGACTGATCGTTACGTTTTCTTTACCCTAAAACAAGTAATGTACATTTCTTGGATGCATTAATAATGATGGGTAAGAAACGATGATATCAGCAATAGTAATATAAAGATAATTTGTACGTATATATTCCCTATGGTTTTGAGGATTCTCAAAAAATGAGCCAGTCAATAGACCAAAAGGTCTTTCTGGTTGTTTCAGATTGCAGTTTCAATACAGTAATATTCAAGTAGTGTCACACTATTAATTAGTCGTTTAAAATACGGCCCACAACAATCAGAACACACATACGCTCAGATACTATTAATTAGTCGTTTGAAACACGGCCCCGTAACAATTAGAACAGACATACGCTCACACACTTTTAATAAGTTGTTTGAACCACGGCCCCATAACAATCAGAACACACATACACTTAAACACCTACAGCTACTTACGCGCGTATTCTTGTTCTCTTACTAACGAAGGAATATGTATACGAAACAGACCAGAACACGCCTCATCAATTGTTTTCGGGTTTGTCATTGCCTGGGAGAATCTAATATATAAATTGTTTCTATTGAAATCAGAGTTTTGCTTCGTTTTTAGTTTATAAGTGGTCTTACTACGATTGAACAAAGGAATTAATCTGTTCCAATTAGAACTGCTCGTCACAAGAATAGACAAACGGACTGAACTGGGAGTAGTTGGGTTCATGTTCTTGGCGTTGCTACCAGATAAGTCCCTCGGACTGAACTGGGAGTGGTTGGGTTCATGTTCTTGGCGTTGCTACCAGATAAGTCCCTCGGACTGAACTGGGAGTGGTTGGGTTCATGTTCTTGGCGTTGCTACCAGATAAGTCCCTCGGACTGAACTGGGAGTGGTTGGGTTCATGTTCTTGGCGTTGCTACCAGATAAGTCCCTCGGACTGAACTGGGAGTGGTTGGGTTCATGTTCTTGGCGTTGCTACCAGATAAGTCCCTCGGACTGAACTGGGAGTGGTTGGGTTCATGTTCTTGGCGTTGCTACCAGATAAGTCCCTCGGACTGAACTGGGAGTGGTTGGGTTCATGTTCTTGGCGTTGCTACCAGATAAGTCCCTCGGACTGAACTGGGAGTGGTTGGGTTCATGTTCTTGGCGTTGCTACCAGATAAGTCCCTCGGACTGAACTGGGAGTGGTTGGGTTCATGTTCTTGGCGTTGCTACCAGATAAGTCCCTCGGACTGAACTGGGAGTGGTTGGGTTCATGTTCTTGGTGTTGCTACCAGATAAGTCCCTCGGACTGAACTGGGAGTGGTTGGGTTCATGTTCTTGGTGTTGCTACCAGATAAGACCCACGGACTGAACTTAAAGCTGTAGATTCCGTGTCTTTGGTGCTCATTGTTTTCATTACACCACAATATATCAAATATGACGCTCGGAATTTTGCTGTAGTGAATACATACATGCATATATGTAAGTGTACTTTCAATTACAATTGTGAAATCATCTGTTTCACTATACACTTATTCAAACACGAGAGACCATATGCAGATTTTGACATTCCATTACAGTGAAAAATACAATCCATACTAAGTACGATATATAAACAACCTACATATCGCATAATGATACAAATATTCCTTATGTATATTTAACACAAAGGGACGAACTTCAACAAAAACCGTTGACCTTTGACCTTCAGTGCTGCCCCCAGGTGGTGTCTCAAGTTACGCCATTACACGACAGCCATACATATCTCTTTGTACTCGACCCTTAAACCTATAAACAGATGACCGCAGGTCAGGTAGATAGCGAGTTAATTAATACGGCTTGATATCAAACGATTAATACCTACCTCTATTGTCTACGGCTACTCGAGGACATACGTAGCAACATCGGTATACTCTAATACTCAGCGCCATTTTAATCGCGTATTCATTACGTACATATATCTACGTACATATATCTATATATCTACGATATCTAAATACACTTGGGTTGTGAGCGCTGTATACCATTTATACATCTATATCTTGATGCGAGTTTAAATTTACATTAACGTGTTGGACTCACTGAAGAGAACACTGATATATGATTTGTTAACTACATTGATTAATAAGAATGGATTATTAGATACCTTCGAGAGTTGCTGATTCAGAGACTGTTCTGAAGGGAGTGTGTGAGTGTGTAGGGGCCGTGTGTGTGTCTGTGAGTGGGGGTGGGGGTTAAGGTTATCACAACATCAGTCGTTGTGAGATCAAATACTACGTTGTTAACATTTATCATATAAAGGTGAAAGCAAAAGCGTTTTATTGTTTTTATTTTTAGCAACACAAATCACGTGACTTTGCAAAATATTATCTTACTGGTACTTCCAGTTTGTTAATGTGAAACGCAAAAGGTCAAATGTCATTAATGTATCGGTAAAACGTGTACCGTGCTGCAGAAGGTTGTTTCATTGATAACAAAAAACGACGAATCAACAAAAAGACGAAGACGTGGAGCTAAGAATTTCGGTGTACAAACAATGGATTTCCAGTTTACCGCCGCTATAAGGTCGGTGTCCAGATAATGGGTGTCCAGTTTCCCGCCGCTATAAGGTCGGTGTACAGGTAATGGATTTCCAGTTTACCGCCGCTATTAGTTCGGCGTACAGATAATGGATTTCCAGTTTACCGCCGCTATAAGGTCGGTGTACAGATAATGGATGTCCAGTTTACCGCCGCTATAAGGTCGGTGTACAGTTAATAGATGTCCAGTTTACCGCCGCTATAAGTTCGGTGTACAGGTAATGGATTTCCAGTTTACCGCCGCTATTAGTTCGGTGTACAAATAATGGATTTCCAGTTTACCGCCGCTATTAGTTCGGTGTACAAATAATGGATTTCCAGTTTACCGCCGCTATAAGGTCGGGGTACAGATAATGGATGTCCAGTTTACCTCCGCTATAAGGTCGGTGTACAGTTAATGGGTGTCCAGTTTACCGCCGCTATAAGTTCGGCGTACAGATATTGGATTTCCAGTTTACCGCCGCTATAAGGTCGGTGTACTGATAATGGATGTCCAGTTTACCGCCGCTATAAGTTCGGTGTACAGATAATGGATGTCCAGTTTACCGCCGCTATAAGGTCGGTGTACAGTTAATGGATGTCCAGTTTACCGCCGCTATAAGTTCGGTGTACAGATAATGGATTTCAAGTTTACCATCGCATTTAGTTCGGTGTACAGATATTGGATTTCCAGTTTACCGCCACTATAAGTTCGGTTTACAGATAATGGATTTCAAGTTTACCATCGCATTTAGTTCGGTGTACAGATAATGGATTTCAAGTTTACCGCCGCTATAAGTTCGGTTTACAGGTAATGGATTTCCAGTTTACCGCCGCGATAAGTTCGGTGTACAGGCTATAATGGATTTCCAGTTTACCGCTGCTATAAGTTCGGTGTACAGATAATAGATGTCCAGTTTACCGCCGCTATAAGGACGGTGTACAGTTAATGGATGTCCAGTTTCCCGCCGCTATAAGTTCGGTGTACAAATAATGGATTTCCAGTTTACCGCCGCGATAAGTTCGGTGTACAGGCTATAATGGATTTCCAGTTTACCGCGCTATAAGTTCGGTGTACAGGTAATGGATTTCCAGTTTACCGCCGCCATAAGTTCGGTGTACAGGCTATAATGGATTTCCATTTTACCGCCGCTATAAGTTCGGTGTTCAGGCTATAATGGATTTCCAGTTTACCGCGCTATAAGTTCGGTGTACAGGTAATGGATTTCCAGTTTACCGCCGCCATAAGTTCGGTGTACAGGCTATAATGGATTTCCAGTTTTCCGCCGCTATAAGTTCGGTGTACAGGTAATGTATTTCCAGTTTACCGCCGCTATAAGTTCGGTGTACAGGCTATAATGGATTTCCAGTTTACCGCCGCTATAAGTTCGGTGTACAGATAATGGATTTCAAGTTTACCGCCGCATTAAGTTCGGTGTACAGATAATGGGTTTCCAGTTTACCGCCGCTATAAGTTCGGTATACAGATGATAGATTTCCAGTTTACCGCCGCATTGGAAGTTCGAAGCATTTAATCGATTATCAACTTAATTGAATTTAAACCATATCCAACTGAATTCCAATGCAACATCTTTAGACAGCTGACGTTATACAGCACAGGACTACAGTCTCGCGGTAATATTGTTATTCTGGATGGTAATGATGTTTACATGACCTCTGAAAGCAGTGTATGGATACGCTATGGAAACCCATTTTTACTTTTGTTTTTGCATCGCTTTGCCTTAAAGTTGTGAAATTCATTCAAATTACTAAGAAATATCACAGATCTAATTCAAAACGCAAAACCGAACCAGATGTTTTACTTTTGTTCTTCAAAATAGAGTAGGGAATTTCTGTACTTGCAAACATATTATCAGTCTTAAAATCAGGTACTTAGCAATCGTGAAATTCAATCAGACATCATGACAGGGAAAAAAGGTAAAGTATGATAAAACCTTATACTGAAGTTGCTTATATCATGACGAAAACTAGAAATGGTAAAAACTATCTTTTTTTTGGAGAAAAGAAAAGAAATGAAGTAATTAACAGCAATGAACCAAGTCTGTCCGGAACCGAGCCTGTCCGGACGAACTCGGAATTTAGCTATTTAGATTATTGAAGGGGGTTAAATCTTATAAATATTTCCATAAAATGTTGGACTGTATTAAGGAAATGAACAACAAAATATATTAGGTATACATGTAAGATAAAGCAGTGAAGTTATCAGCGGCCAGTTTTAATAAATAAAAGTTACAAAACTCACTAAAGTTTAAAATCATGCAATATATATATAAAAAAATATTGATTTGAAATAAAGCATTGGTTTTAAAACAAATATTTTGTGTCAAACCTCATCAAACATTCATTTAGATATATTTTTTTAGAAAAAAAAATCATTCTTTTATTACGGTAAAGGTTTATCGAAAATGTACATTTACACTAGACTGATTTTAAAGAATTAATTTGTAAAATGTGTAATAAGTCATTACATCAATAATAACATAAACTAAATAGCCCAGAGTCCGACAAAACCATTTAAATTCAAAGTATCGCGGTCCTGCTCCTTAAAGCTGTTTGAGATACCGACAGTATACCCTGGGGTGGTACAGGAGGTAACCCTATCCGGAAAGGCGATCTTTGGTTAATGGTACTAATACATATATACTTACTGATTATTTAAACATAAAACAACAGATTGTAACACGACACAGCAAATAAATGACATTTAATTCCCTGGTAGCCCTGCACTGTAGTAACGGGCACCAGTTCATAGTATAGCGGTATTTAAATGCCATGTACGTAAAGTTTTCTTAAAATTACGGGCTATTAATCTTTACAAAATCAAACGATGCTTGCTGCTCAGGGGAATTTGGATAGCAGCCTCACAAAGCGAGATGTGAGGAGAATGAAAAAGAATCGCACTTCGACCCCAGAAGATGGAGGTTCTGTGCAGAACTTGGGAGGGGCAGCCGTCATTCCTCCTATAAGTCCCAGGCGTTATAAGGTCTACACCTATGATGGCACTTTGGACAAAAATGCTAAAAAACCTGCCCAGGTAAGCCTTTCGTATTTTATCTCTTTATCAACATTTAGAAAGCAGTTTATTGTGACAAGATATTTTGAAATATTAATTTGTGTGTTTCCGCGTTTATGCAGAGCATTATCAAGTTAAATTGGTACATTTAAAGTTCCTTATTCTTTTCTAACCTTTTATAAACGTTTTTTTCATGTAGATGAAATCTTTAAATACACACAGTATTGATCACTACAGTATTCAATCCTGTTTGTGAACCTGTATGAAGTTATACCCTTTTGGTGGACCCATCCTCCTCCCGAAACAATATTATTGCGTGGATTCAATAGACCATTTACCGTGTACTCAAGCTTGATTATTAGTCCTAATGCAGCTTGTCAGTAAAAAAGGAAACCAGGCATTAGACATATACATGCATAAAATGTAAATCTGGGTGGTCGGGTGGCGCCGTGGATAACGCTTAATTGCCTTTCCCCAAGCCGGCCAAGGACCGATTCCCCGATCGGACGCGAAAACGTATGGGGTCACCTGCCTGACCACGTGGGCTTTCTCAGGGTACTCCGGTTTACTCCCCATATTATTTCTAATTTGGATGTGACATAAGGATGACAACCTTTCAATCCCTGAAGAGTGGTCCGGTGGCGCAGTGGATAACGCAAGCCGGCCGGGGGGTACTCTGGTCTCCTCCTACATTAAGACCCATGTGCGCTTACATCCGGGCCAACAAGAGTGTTTAATTTAAAATAAAATAACTGGTTTCGTAATTGTTGTAAGCAAAATAAAGTTTTAATCCCTGATTGAAGAGCTCAACCCGAAAACTTGGGTTGACAGTGGCTGCTAATATTCAATATTTATCTATTTGTAAGAATATTTAAGTCAAAACACTGGATTTTTATATTATTACATGACACATGTTCGCCCTAGATTTATTTCCGTCCCTCGATCTCGAACGAGAGTGAGGGCGAATCCTATTATGATACATTATATACAGTTGACAACATTTGTGAGTGGACAAAATCAAAAATTGGCGAGGCAAAAAAACCATGTCAGGGCGAAATTTTGGCGAAACGAAAATATAAATGTTTAGAGTAACTTTCTTTGTGTTGTGGCAAGTCAAGTCCATTTAATACATAGAGAAGGGTCACAAAACATTAGAAATATCTTTAAGTGGAAAACAGATACATTATAAATCTATTCAAATAGAGATATTTGTAAATTAATTAAAGATATATCTACCTGAACTAAATAAATGTTATAAATATGATATAACATTAACTAGAGATGAAGTTAAAATAATAACATAAAATAAGACATGTAATAGAAATATCACATAGTCATAATTTTATTATATATCTTTATTGTGTTAAAGATATTACCTAAATAGCTAATGAAATATCTCCTAATGTTTATGAGAAATCTCCTAAGGTGTATGAGATATCTCCTAAGGCGTATGAGAAATCTCCTAAGGTACATGAGATATCTCCTAAGGTGTATAAGAAATCTTCTAATTTGTATGAGAAATCTCATAAGGTGTATGAGAAATCTCCTAAGGTGTATGATAAATCTTCTAATGTGTATGAGAAATCTCCTAAGGTGTATGAGAAATCTCCTAAGGTGTATGAGATATATCCTAAGGCACATGAGATATCTCCTAAGGTGTATGAGATATATCCTAAGGTACATGAGATATCTCCTAAGGTGTATGAGATATCTCCTAAGGTACATGAGAAATCTCCTAAGGTGTATGAGAAATCTCCTAAGGTGTATGAGATATATCCTAAGGCACATGAGATATCTCCTAAGGTGTATGAGATATATCCTAAGGTACATGAGATATCTCCTAAGGTGTATGAGATATCTTCTAAGGTGTATGAGAAATATTCTAAGGTGTATGAGAAATCTCCTAAGGTGTATGAGAAATCTCCTAAGGTACATGAGATATCTCCTAAGGTGTATGATATATCTCCTAAGGTACATGAGATGAGATATCTTCTAAGGTGTATGAGATATATTCTAAGGTACATGAGATATATATATGTTATAGGTTAGATTGACGTACCACAGTATGTGGCTAACACAATCGTGCGTAAGTAGGCTAAATTGCTGGTGTCCTCGTAATTTAAGACGTTATAGAAAGTCCTCGTCAATTGAAACAAATTATTCTTCATACCAGACCGTTGATAGGATCCTTTTTTTACCGTGCTTTTGATAAGTTAGAATACATGTATGTCAATAAAATTGATTTAAATGTACCAGACATCGAGTTGAAGGAATGAAAACAGCTTATAAAACTTTTTAAAATTTAATCAATGTTCGTTTTTGATAAATTAGTTTTCATTGCTAAATAAAGAAAATACATCTGTCATTTTAATACTTACTTTTTGCTTGTCACACTTTTGTAAACTTCAAAGAGGTGTATGAGTTTTCTTCAAAAGTTGATTTATTCCATATTAATATTTTCTGATTACTTTTCAAATATTACTAGCATCCGTCTGTTTAACTTCAAAATGTTAAATTTATAACACATACTTTGCTGTTTGAAGTTAACTTGTGGCGATTGAGACATGCCTTTATATTTCTAAACTAAAAAAGAAATAAAATTTTCCCAACAATAGACCGCTGCATCACCTACATCTCTCGTCTTTAGCTTTATAAAATTAACATTGTAAGTAAAACTATAGGGATTGAAGCACAGAACCTTTAAACAGGGATCGTATACTGTCAAGAGATAGCGACCTAATCACAATTCCTTTTTATTCTTCAACAACATATAGAACCTATTACAATCCAATTTAACATTAATACCTAAAAGATGTCTCCTTAGCTACATATACCTGAAAGTACCTCTATTAGTTTGGAAACATCTTAAAAACAATAAAGATATCCGATATGTAAAATATCTCTATTTCTTGGAGAAAGGTTATGTATCCCAACCAGCAAGTGTTTTATGTGTGACGTTTTGTTGACTAGTACGGTACGTACTCTGTCACCTTCATCCGATAAGTGACAATTGAAGCGTATGTACACAAATGTGAAATTATTAGTACTGTACAATGTATAGACGTTGAAAATGTGTTGAACACGTTCGACTTGTACAGCCTTATGGCCATTCTCGATACTCCAGAGTGTAAGTGAGCGCAATCCCCTAGAGTATCGAGGATGGCTCATGGTGTAGTCATATCATATTCCAGCAAGTCTTCCCTTCTTAAATGAACTTTTCGATTTATTCGCTACTTACAGCCACCTTTTTTTCTAACCCTCTTGCACACCTCCCCTTTACTTCCTTTAAGTATAAGTATTAATACACAAACAGTCAATGCCCTCCTATCGCTGCTGAACGAATGTTAGGAGGCCAGTGTATAAAATTACCCTGTACTTGTTTTCGAATTAATGTATTATGTATGTTTTATTTTATTATTACTGCAATATAAAATAAACTTTAAACTAATTATGATAAATATGTACGAGTTGGCAATATAAAATTGACGTCAATTCGGATACGCTATAAGCCTATGTATACTTATGTATTTTTTGGAGGAGGGGCGGTCTATTTATTGCAAGTGTAATAGCTTTGATTGAGTATAAATGATAAAGATAAGCTTAAACTGGTTCGTATGTCATTTGACTTTCGTAAAATCACGGATTTAGATAACAAATATAATGTAATTCCATGGTAAAACGGTCTATAGGACAAACCTAAAACACACATAACATGTCGAAAACTAATTACACTGCACCGTGCAGCTGTTTGGTCCGTCTAGGGCTCGTCGGCGATGCTAGAAACAAAAGAGTTAGGCAATCCAAATTGGTCTAAATGACTGTTGAAACAGAAGGAGAGGCGTGTAATCTTTTTTAGAAGAGTACTGCTTATTTTCTAATTAATAATTATTAAAGTGTGTAAAGAGATAATAGTTAAAATCGGGACTGCGTCACACTACGGGGACTGGAAACACGGGGTAAACCACTTTGAAGCTCACTTTACAAAAATATTTATGCTCAACGTAATGAAATCATGATGTTGAATTAAAAACATAGCCTGTTACCTTGATGACAAATTAAAAACGTAGCCTGTTACCTTGATGACAAATTAAAAAAAACGTAGCCTGTTATCTAGGTGACAAATTAAAAACATAACCTGTTACCTAGGTGACAAATTAAAAACCTAACCTGTTACCTTGATGACAAATTAAAAACGTAACCTGTTACCTAGGTGTCAAATTAAAAACAGCCTGTTACCTTGATGACAAATTAAAAACGTAACCTGTTACCTAGGTGACAAATTAAAAACATAACCTGTTATCTAGGTGACAAATTAAAAACGTAACCTGTTACCTTGGTGACAAATTAAAAACATAACCTGTTACCTTGATGACAAATTAAAAACATAGCCTGTTACCTTGGTGACAAATTAAAAACATAGCCTGTTACCTTGCTGACAAATTAACAACATAGCTTGTTACCTTGATGACAAATTAAAAACATAGCTTGATACCTTGATGACAAATTAACAACATAGCCTGTTACCTTGGTGACAAATTAAAAACGTAGCCTGTTACCTTGATGACAAATTAAAAACGTAGCCTGTTACCTAGGTGACAAATTAAAAACATAACCTGTTACCTAGGTGACAAATTAAAATTATAACCTGTTACCTTGATGACAAATTAAAAACGTAACCTGTTACCTAGGTGACAAATTAAAAACATAGCCTGTTACCTTGATGACAAATTAAAAACATAGCCTGTTACCTTGATGACAAATTAAAAACATAGCCTGTTACCTTGATGACAAATTAAAAACATAGCCTGTTACCTTGATGACAAATTAAAAACATAGCCTGTTACCTTGATGACAAATTAAAAACATAGCCTGTTACCTTGATGACAAATTAAAAACATAGCCTGTTACCTTGATGACAAATTAAAAACATAGCCTGTTACCTTGATGACAAATTAAAAACATAGCCTGTTACCTTGATGACAAATTAAAAACATAGCCTGTTACCTTGATGACAAATTAAA